GTTAGGCTCCTCAGATTATATTTTGGAATTTACGTGGCTGGATTTTCACAAAGCATCCAAGTATAGAAAACTACTTTAGGTCAATGATGGCTCCTGAGACCTGCACAGTTGGATTAATAGCAACTAAACTACCTTGCATTGGAGGCAGAAGGGTTAAAAAGCCCCTTTATTTAAAACCCTCTATGACATTTGTAAAATAGCCCATCTGGAACATGCCTGGTGTGTGCCTAACACTGCACATGATTGGCTAGTATGACACGAAGGGTTTATCAAAAGGCACAAAGAGTGCGAGTAGTAAGAAATGGATGACAAACCCATCAGTAGCCACAGGGAGATGGTCTGTCATTGCAGTGCTGAAAGCTACTCTGAAGCCTAAATGGAAAGGCTCTTGGATCTTAGATGCTGCTGGAGTGAGTGCACTGCTCTCAGCTATCATCTTCTCGTTAATCTTGCCTACGAAGGAGAAGCTGGAGACAAGGCAGTAGCTGCCAAGATGCTTAGAGGTGGGAGATCTTACGCCCTTCTTGAGCCTGGGCACTGGGGTGGTAACATGCCCCTTCTTACTGCCAGATTCTGAGACCCTGACTCGTATTGAAAGCGTCCAACTCCACAAGCGACCAGATAGACTGCTCGTCACGTTGGGCACCAGTCAAGATAAAATAGGGGCATTACACTCTGGCCCTTAATGAAGAAAATTATGTCAGCCAGCAGTGGGACACACTATTCCCTACCAACTTTGCCTGGGTAAAGCATGAGTCCATTTGACGGGGTGTGACAAATTTCACCTAGAGCTTTCAGGGGAGAATGCTGTATTTACAGTACAAGTGGTAATGTTTCACCTTCAGATCTCCGAGCAAAGCCTCAGGAAGGCACGCCGGCCGTTTCTTCCTTGCATTCTTACTTGTTGGAGGACTTGAAGTCTGTTATGTTCTAATTAGGGCCTCATTTAGGGTTCCCCAGCCTCCTTCCATGCTTGTGAACTCAATCTTTCCTCATATTGACCTTATTCCCCGCAGGGGTGATATTCAAAGACATGCATGGGAGTTGGGCACCTCTCATTGGGATTTGGGCCTAACCATCCTCTGCGTCTTTGGAAATCTCCTCCGCTTGAATCTTAAATCCTCAAAATTCTTTCCATAAACCTTGTCCTGCCGCATTCTGGTACCCAGTTCTTTACTAAGACAAATTCAAGCCATCAGTTCCAAACTTTCCCTTTATTCTCATTTAGTTTCTCTCTGTTGTTAAGTAGGTGAGCCTGTGTGACAGGGTCCCTGGGGTGCAACCTGGACTGTGGGGCCACTAAGCCCTCCAAATGCACCAACCTGGGCTGCCTCTCACTGTGATGCTGGTGTGAACCTGCAAGCCCTCTGACAGGCTCTGCACTTACAGAGCCATCCACAGGCAGGGACACAGCTGAGTTACTTGAATGATCTCTCAGCCACTCATGAACCATCAATAGAGAGGCTCCAGCCAATGCCCCATAGTCTTCAGTCTTACACCCCAGAACTGTACCATCTTGCACTGGACAGAAGCCTGACCAGTGTAAGTTCATTACTTAGTTCGCCACTTCTTCATAGGAAAGTGGACATGCGCCAGCCTTTGTAACCTGAGCTGAGATTCCCCCAGCCACTTCAACTATTGCACACTGTTCTGAGTAAGATATAAAACAGATTTATTAACTATAGAAAGATCGATTTTAAGTGATTGTAAGTAGCAGGCATAGAGATCAGTTAGAAACAAAAATAAACCTGCAGCCTAAATGTCTCACCTTAACAGATGGTAAAAGCAGGTTACAGTTCCTCTGTATACAGACTGGACCACTTTCCACACTGGGACCAAACTTCCCCAGTTCAAAGTCTTTTCCTTGCAGACATTCTTCCAGGTTTTGAGATGGGGAGGAGAGGGGCCAAATGATGATATCACTGTCCCTCTTTTATACTTTCTTCCAGCTGCTAGAAAGATCCTTTCTGTGACGTGGGGGTCGGGCTGCCCCCATTGGCCAAGCAGTTTCCACTGCGCACATGCCTTCTCTAAAGAGTCTCTGGGATAGTGGATTCTTTTCTTGGTGGGCCATCAACGATGCCTGGCCCTTCTTTGTTGCAACTGACAGGCTGGCTGTGGGTGTTTCCAACCTCACAACACATTTCAGTGACATACACAGCAATACTTCATAACTTCACATACAATGACAGCACATACAGTCCAACATGATAGTAATGTTCAACAGATCAAGGCTTTTAATAGGATACCTCACAAGGCATACTTTGTACAAATTGCATCATTATATGACAGTGGTGAATATGGGGGTTCCAGGGTGCTACTTTGAGGTACAGAGTGTCACAGCCAGGATAGCTTCTCCTCGAGATGGAGTTTAGATTTTTTTGGTAGCCTCTTTGACAATGCATGTTTGACTGTATTAGAGATCTAGGTCAGTGGTTTTCAACCTTTTTTCATTTGTGGACCCCTAAAAAAATTCAAATGGAAATGCAGACCCCTTTGGAAATCTTAGACAATCTACAGCACACCAAGGGGTCTGCGGACCACAGGTTGAAAACCACTGGTCTAAGTACACCTCTACCCCCGATATAACGCTGCCCTCGGGAGCCAAAAAAATCTTACTTCGTTATAGGTGAAACCACGTTATATCGAACTTGCTTTGATCTGCTGGAGTGCGCAGCCCCGCCCCCCCCCCCGGAGCGCTGCTTTACCGCGTTATATCTGAATTCATGTTATATCGGGTCGCGTTATATCGGGGTAGAGGTGTAGTTAAAGTTTCCTATGAGCACAGTACACTATAGACAGCAGCTGTTCAAACTTCTGCCCAGCAGCCTGCAGCCCCAGCCTGTATGGAATGACCCTATGGGTGACATGGCATTTCAGTCGGCTTAGTCCTATCTAATCTTCACCTTTTGGGACTGTCAATTAGTGCCAAGGATACTAGTGGCTTCCATGATGTTTGTCTATCCAGATACTTACATGACCCTCATATCAGTGTAGTATGTGAGCAGACATTTGTCTATTAGGGACTGGATTGAGACTAACAAAAATCAGCAATCAGATGGCAACCTTCAAATAATACTCACCTGGCTAGATTCAAACCAGCATACTAGAGAGGAAAGGGTTATTTGCCCATTACCAAGCTCCTGAGCCATCTAATCCCCCAAGCAGTTAAGAATTAAAACAGCTTTCTTAGTTGAACCAGCGGGGGCGTCTGAACACCTGACCCCTTGGCTATTACAAAGCGGTGATAACTTAATAGCGGCATATTTCGTTCACTTTCCCCATCTGTGGCTCAAGCATAAACTAGAAAACTTGCTGACAGACCCCGTCTGTCTAACACACGGGTAGGCAACCTATGGCATGCGTGCCAAAGGCAGCACGCAAGCTGATTTTCAGTGGCACTCACACTGCCCGGGTCCTGGCCACCGGTCCGGGGGGCTCTGCCTTTTAATTTAATTTTAAATGAAGCTTCTTAAACATTTTAAAAACCTTATTTACTTTACATGCAACAATAGTTTAGTTATATATTATAGACTTATAGAAAGAGACCTTCTAAAAATGTTAAAATGTATTATTGGCACGTGAAACCTTAAATTAGAGTGAATAAATGAAGACTCGGCACACCACTTCTGAAAGGTTGCCGACCCCTGGTCTAATATCAGCAATCTGCTTACTTTAGAAATGAAACAAGATCTTTCAGAAATTCACATTTATTTATCTTTAATACTTGTTACAGCATATTTTTGTCATACAGATTTCAACTTCAAAACCTTCTAGCTGTAAGATCCATTGTTACTGGTTTTTGATTCACATATCAGTGCTACACATAGAAATTTAAATGATTTGCTTCATTTTATGCATTTTCCCCCCAAAAGGCAACATATACATAAAACAAAAGAATTCACAATACACACTGAGAAGAAAAGTGTATCTGGGAATATCTTCTTGAAGGGCATGAAATATGGTCCTATCACGATACAGCTGGGCAAAGAAAGTAACAATCCTATCACGGCTCTTGATAGTCTAATGTGCATGACATAAAAGCAGGGAAAGTTACATTCAAAATGAGGTAGTCAATCTTTGTTGATGGTCATTCCCTAATGCACATAAATTCTTGGACCAGGTCTGAAAGATCCTTTAAGGGAAATAAGTACATAGATGGACCTACAGTTTCAATGATTAGGATGAAGGCCTGAAGAAAGCCCTGTTAAGCAGAACAGAAAACTGGTCACCTTGTTAAAAATCTAGGAAAAGTGGTAAGGGCCTGATCCAAAGCTCACTGAAGTGTATGGAAAGACTCTCAGTGACGTTGATGGGCTTTAAATCAAGCCCCTAGATACTAGAAGAATGGTACAGCACGAGTTCGGCCTACAATAGATGGAAGCAATAACCATCATCTAGAAGTCTGAGCAAGGGACTGGATAGAGCTAATGGAAATATTTTTTTAATGTAAAGATTTGGGGGGCGGAGTCAAAAAAGGGCGTTTTTACAACATTGTGAAAAAAATCTTTGAAATGTTCCTTTAAAAAATGAAAACAAAAATGCTACAGAAAATAGCAAAAAGGCAGAGATGGAGGGGGAGAATAAAAAAAAA